TTGCTGTTGTGCACCATTTGCGGCAACCACTCTGTCCCACCAACCGAATGAATTTCAAGCCCCTGAAGCCACGGCAGCGTCTCCGTCGACTCCAGTAACAATGAGAGACCCGGGCATTTATATATTGTCAGTTCTTCAAGAGATCGTCGTAAGGAGTCCGTGTTCAGGGTATTACTCTCCCTGTTTTCATGTAGAACCTTACATCCATAGACCCAAAGTATTTTCAAGGAAGGAAGATGAGTGGGCAAGTTTCCTCTCAGCTTCGGACATTCGTATAACCTCAGCTCCTTAAGACAAGGAAAGTCTGGACTTTCACCTCCACTTGGATTTGACAGCCATTCCTCCCACTCTGGCATCTCCCTAAACTCTAGCTTCTCTAAAGATTGGAATGGTTGATTTCCCCCGTACAACTCAAAAACAACACTCTTAACAACTTTCATCCTTTCTACGTAGAGCTCTTTCAGAGCAGGTAGCTGACCAACTGGTGGCAATGAACTGCAATTACCACAGCCATCGAGACGCATCACTTGTAAGTTGGAAAAGGACGAGTCTCCCACCCATTTCGGGAAACTGGTTCCATCATAACGCAAGATGATTAAGTTCACCAAATTTACCGAAGGTTGTAGTCTTTCGAGTACATGACTCTCTTTTACGGAATCATTGGAAACCCCACGACCCCATGACAACCTTACCTCACTGAGATCATTCTTATCCTTCAGCAAGGCATCAATGGCACCAACTATATTCCGCAAATCAAAGATAGAAATTTTTCCTTGGAGGTGCGACAACTCGCTCAATTCTGCAATACTTGACCCAGTAGATTTCCCCACCACAAAAGCTGTCAGTGTTCTCAAACTTTTTAGTCTACTCATGTGCATCGGCATCTCTTTTATTTTTGTTCCACTAATATCAAGATGACGCAAATGGATCAATTTCCTCATGTCTGCAGGCAATTCAACAAGAGAAGAACAACCTAACAACAACAGAGTTTGTAAATTGTAGAGAGTACACACTGTATCTGGTAGCCTTTTAATTGCCGTATAAGAGAGATTAATGTAGCGCAAGTGTACGTGGTTACCAATAGAATCAGGTAGGTGAGTGATATTTTCATAATTTGACAATGAAAATGCCCGTAAACATTTTTGTGCTGGCAATAAATCATCTAAAATCTTATTGCTTACAAATCCACGATCCCATCTATTATATGGTGGTAAAGACACTGGAAAGAAGGTACGCAAATACTTGACTTCTTTTAATGGCTTAAATTTGAGAGATGTATCAAAATTTTCTCTCATATACGACAAGTGACGAACTCTTTTAGGAACTTCATGTGAATTTTTCCGATCCATCCTAAAACAAAACTCTCTAGACACAAACATAGCCAAGTCATTGATGAGATCATGCATAGTGAAACTTGATTGATCCAATCTTGGTCTTTGAAATAGTGATCGCGATAACAGTTCATCAAAGTATCTTTCACCAACCTCCTCCATTGCTTTCTCGCTCTCTGATTGTGGAATTAAACCTTCTGCCTCCCATAGTAGAATTACATTTTCCTTTTCAAATTCATAATCCTTTGGAAAAATTGAGCAATAAGCAAAGCATCGTTTCAAGTAAGTTGGAAGATAGTGGTAGCTCAATCTTAGAGAAGGAAGAACACTATCAGCATGTGGTGGATCCCAAAGATTGCTATTCAATATGTGATTCCATTCCTTGTAGTCTAGGTTGCAACTTAAGAGACCCCCTAGCGTTTTTGCAGCTAGAGGCAAACCGTTGCACTTACGTGCAATTTGCTTACCAATTTCAACCAAGTCTGGATGTGCACCGGGGTTTTCATTTCTGAATGCATGTTTTACCAGTAACAACCAACAATCTTCATCTGACAATTCTTCTAAGTCATAAATTGGAATAGTATTGTGCACGATGGATGCAACACGTCTACTCCTTGTTGTTACAATGACCTTGCTTCCCTTTGCTCCATACGTGAAAAGAATTCGTAGACGATCCCACTCATCATAATTTTCATTCCAAAGGTCATCCATGACGAGTAAAAATCTCTTCCCCTCAATTGTTCCCTTAGTTTAACTTCAAGGGGATTCATCTCCAAAATGTCACAAGGTTTTTTAGTGATTTCCTCAATAAGGGCCTTAATAACCCTCAAAGCCTCATACTGTTCGGAAACACAAACCCAAGCATTCGTATCAAAATGCACTTTAACTTGTTCATCGTTGTAAAGGAATTGAGCAAGAGTTGTCTTACCAACCCCGCCCATACCGACTATAGGGACTACAGAAAAATTACTGCTACTTTGATTGTCAGATAGCAGCAGTAGAGCTTTTAACTTTTCTTTATCGCCATCCCTACCATAGGTACAAAATCCGTCCTCAACAACAGAAGTTGTGGGAGTTCGTTGTGAAACAATGCCCCCAACACCTCCTCTAAGACCGAGGTTATCTTTTTGTTTTGCAAGGTGTTCCAACTTGTTGAATAAATATTCTATTCTACCATTCAAGACTTTATAATGAAAAGGATTAAGAGAGGTAGAAAGGATGTCCCACACCTGAGTTTTCTTACTCTGATCTTTCGCTTTGCGACGCAAAGCTTCAGCATCGATCTCATCCACCAAGTCCTCGGCATCGAACACAGCATGTTTGAGCTCGTCAAGCCACATCCCGACGGCACGGTTGACAATCTGCTTCTCCTCTGCGTCGTTGAGCACTGCATGGAGGGTCATCAACTTCACCTTCAGTCTGTCCACGAGTGAATGGTCGAGTCTTCTTGCCCGGAAGAAGTCCATGAACTGTCCGGAGGCAATCTTGTCGCACATCACCTTGATCGAACCGGAGAGCAAAGCCTCTCCAACCAAAGCCATTTTCTCTTCTTGGCAGAAGGACTAATTTTGATCAAGTATTTGGAGTTGAGAAACTGAAAATTATTCTTGGCAAAGCCTGTTAAGATTACTTCATGACGAGGGAGACGACGTGATCTTTTTCTTGGTCAATAACGCAGTGGACCACACACGGCAAACATAGAGTAGAAATTGGTGGAGGTTGGAAAACGTTACCATCCAACATTAATTTATTATTTATTTTCTTTGAGGAAAATTCATATTGGTTATGGATTAAATTACCACACACATTCTTACACCAGGATCACGACAAGAGCCCAGTTTCTACACAAACAGTTTGGGAGCTGGAAGTATAGAGTGGTTGATATGAAACCAAGAACCCAAAAACAATAAAAGAAAACGGTTGAATTTGTCTAAATCTTATTTAGTTAAATCTCAACGGTTAATTCTTGAAAAAACATGTTTCGAGTATAATTTTTATTGAAGCCAATAGCCTAAGCAAGTATTGATAAAAATCATGCAGTATATTTGGATCTCAACATATTTCCCTTGTCTTACTTAAAAGAATCGAAAACATTGGGGTAAATTAGAGAAAAACTAATGTGGTTTGATAATTGATAAATAAATAAATGAAATGTGTTTTGTGTACCTTCCAATCGTTGTAACGGCTTCATTTGGATCTTTGACCCATATGACATGATCACATGGCCTCCACTATCCTCTTATCATGATTGAAATCTCCAAAACCACATCTTGGTACTACCATATGTATTCTACTCTAATTCCAAATGCTCTATCTTCATCTTTGTGTATAAAAAAAGTAAGAAAGTTTCGGGCGTGATTTTAGTGTTATGTAGCACTTAGTGTTATGTATTAGTTGTTAGATTTGATCTTCATAATTAGTGGCACATTCAGAATTCGGATTTTGGAAGGTCATAATGTTAAAGTACAAGTTTTTTTAGATAGAAACAGAGCGCGAAGTGCACAAACAACATTTCAATTTATCGACTGAGCCATTTCATTGCACACTTGGTTGGCTTGTTATCGTCAGCCAAATTATGTTACGCACATATCAACAGATATCGATATATGTTGAAGCAATATAATGAGTAACATTAAGAGAATTTGTCAAGTATTGTTGATTCAACCTGTCGAGATATGTCTAGCATACATTACATCAAACACTTGGTAAACATAAAAGAGACTCATACCAAATGTTTAGAGAATTCTCGAAAAACCTTGACATATATATTTTCAAAATTCTAAGTGATCTTAAGACCACCTTAGTCTCAATGTACTTTTTCCTTGTTCACAACTATTATATCTTGTATTTTCCGTCCGAACCGTTCATTTTGCTACTGACTTGCATTATCTTGATTTGCCTATATATTCAACATTCACGGGACCCATTCATGTGTAGGACTTGGTTTGAACCAGCCATGCACTCATGATGAATCCAATCATGGGGCCCTAAAGTCCAAACAGGATCCTATCCGCATCATTTTTAATGAGAATATTGAAAATTCGTAAATCGTATTCATTTATCGTACATTATGCGATTATTTTTTATCAGGTACTATTTATATTTTATTTTAAATAAAAATATTTAAAATAATTTTTTACGATCAATGTACGATATACGGATATGAATCACGAATCCTTGAGACTCTCACAAAAAGAATACGGCAAGAATGAGTTTCTGTGTCAATTATGCCCCTTTTTCTTAGGGCTTACTTAATCTTTAATTTTCTTGGGTTAGACAATTTTGCGTCAAGGTTAACATGTTTTTGCACAAAACTAATTAAGAAAACACTCTAGTTACTTTGTTATATAAAAAATGTTATTCTTACCATGTTTTTATACTATATTTCTACATCATTTTAGGTGGGATCTGATGTGCATAGTACGAACAACATTACTTAGTTATATTGTTAAATTATCGAATTTGGTGCTACACAATTACACAAAATTATCCACCATAGAATTCCATGATATTGATGCACCCTATGATACGCTGTCGTTCTCCAAAAGTCCCTCATAACCGTTGCAAACCCTCTCAGCCTAAATATTCCTTTCAAACCGACCCACGCGCCCATTTTCCAACCGTTTAAACCCCACTCCCAGCCTCCCTCCTCCCTCTCTCTAAACCTCCAAGAACTCTCTCTCTCTCTCTCTCTCTCTCTCTCTCTCTCTCTCTCTCTCTACATGTTCTCAATCATAATCTGCAAGTCCTCTGCTTTTGCAAAGAAAATCCAAAACCCATTTGTTTCCATCCATCTGAATTCGAAATCTCCGCATCCATGGCTCCAAGAAAGCTTCTTGTTTTCTGGGTCGTCGTCTTCTTCCTCATAGCCCTCTTCCTCCGCCGTGGCTCCGCCGAGAACGTCAACTTCTACTTCCCCACTTTCAACTTCCGAAACCTTACCTTCCTCGGCGACTCCCACATCCGAAACGGCGTCGTTGGCCTCACCCGTGAGCTCACGGTCCCCTCCTCCAGCGCCGGCGCCGTCATCTACAACAACCCAATTCGGTTCTTTGACCCGGAATCCAACATCACCGCTTCCTTCTCCACGAAGTTCACTTTCTCCATCGCCAACGTCAATCCGAGCTCTTACGGGGACGGCATGTCGTTTTTCCTCTCGACGGACAACCGGATGCTCGGCAGCCCCGGCGGCTATCTGGGTCTCGTCAATTCCTCCCAAGTGACCAAGAACAAGTTCGTCGCCATCGAATTCGACACGAAGCTCGATTTGCACTTCAACGATCCAAATGACCATCACGTTGGATTGGACATCGAGAGCCTCAATTCGATTAAGACCGCTGATCCAATCTTGCAGGGTGTCGATTTGAAGAGCGGCAGTTCGATTACTACTTGGATTGATTACAAGAATGACCAAGAAAAACTTAAAGTGTATCTAAGCTACTCGAATTTCAAGCCCGAAAAGCCGGTTTTGAGCGTAGATATCGATCTCTCCGAGCATCTGAAGGAGGTTATGTTCGTGGGTTTTTCGGCCTCGACGGAAGGGAGCACGGAGAAGCATTTGGTTGAGAATTGGAGCTTTCATACATTCGGGTTCGTTGCGAAAAGGCCGAAGCTGCAGCCCCACAATGTGTCTGATACTTATGTGGTGGTAAGTCCGAGAATTCCAGTGTCCGGTTCGGGGGATAAGCACCACAGGCGGCTCGGCTTAGGACTTGGTATTGCCGGGCCGGCGTTCTTTTGCGTGGCGCTGTTGGTTTTCGGGTATGTTTCTGTGACGAAATGGATGGAGGTGAGAAGACAGAAGAGCTTCAAAGCAGAGGTTGTGGCAGGGCCCAGAGAGTTCAGTTACAAGGAGCTGAAATCTGCCACAGGAAGGTTTCATTCCAGTAGGATTCTTGGGCATGGAGCTTTCGGGACTGTTTACAAGGCGTTTTTCGTGTCTTCGGGCACCATTTCTGCGGTGAAAAGATCCAAGCATTCCCATGAAGGTAAAACTGAATTTCTTTCTGAGTTGTCGATTATTGCTTGCTTGCGCCACAAGAATTTAGTTCACCTTCAAGGCTGGTGTGTTGACAAGGGTGAATTGCTTCTTGTTTACGATTTCATGCCTAATGGGAGCCTCGAAAAGGCACTGTACCAAGAACCCGGGCAAAGTACCTTGTTAGATTGGTCTCGGAGACTGAATGTTGCGGTTGGATTGGCGTCTGTTTTGACATATCTGCATCAGGAATGTGAGCAGCAGGTCATCCACAGGGACATAAAGACTGGCAATGTTTTGCTGGACGGGAATTTAAACGCGAAGCTCAGTGATTTCGGGTTGGCAAAGCTCATGGATCACGATAAAAGCCCTGTTTCCACACTGACAGCAGGAACAATGGGGTACCTTGCGCCTGAGTATCTTCAATACGGGAAAGCAACCGAAAAGACTGATGCTTTTAGCTATGGTGTGGTGATCCTTGAAGTGGCATGTGGAAGGAGACCAATAGAAAGAGAGCCAGGAAGTGAGAAGGCAGTGAATTTGGTTGATTGGGTTTGGGGGCTGCATTCCAAAGGGAAGATTATCGAGGCAGCTGACAAGCGGTTGAATGGGGAGTTTAACGTGGAAGAAATGAGGAAGCTGCTACTTGTCGGGTTAAGTTGCGCTAACCCTGATAGCGCGGAGAGGCCTACGATGAGGAGAGTTCTGCAGATTCTGAGTAACGAGGCAGAAGTTCAAGCCGTGCCAAGGGTGAAGCCAAGTCTGAGTTTCTCTAGCAGATTGCCTATGTCGCTTGATGAAATTGTTTCGGATTGTGATGAGGAGGATTGCGGCAGCCCCACCAGCTCTCTGCGTGAGATCATCATTCACTGAAGATTATATGTAGATTGCAGATGGTTGAATTATTTGATTCTTTTACGTTTTACCACTGCTTATTTTTTTATCCTGTAGTTTGAAGATTAGAGACCGTAGAGTTCGCTGGCCTGAGTTCAAAGCTTTCTGTTGAACTGTGTGGTCTCTGCTTTGTCCAGGACACAAAAAAAAAAACGCTTCTTGCTTGAATATTTCAATTGCAATAGAAGATTTCTGACTGGTTTACGAGTTGAATGTTACATACGAACGATTTCTATACTATTCGATCATCTATTTCTGGGTAGACTGATTTAAACATTCCTAATAGTGAGATAGTGAGCAGTACGTTGTGTGTAGAGTAATTCTTTTTGCACCCGTAAATCTGTTCGGCACGTCCTCTCTCTCCCTCACGCTGGAGTAGCCATGGCAAGGGGAGAGGAGAACTAGGAAGCATTCATAAGGTATGTGTGTGTGTGTGTGTGTGTGTATGAAAGAAGAGAACTTTAAATGTCTGCTTTGCGAAACTTGACAATTTTGTCGATCACATTTGAGCACATATTATACATCGAAAACAGATTCCTCTTCGTGATATGGAACGGTATAAACTCCGTATCCAAAAGTGATGTACAGATAAAAACTGCGTACAAGGCAAATGCAAATCTGAACATTCTGCAAGTAAGATTTACATGCTGGTTAGATGGTCTGTCAATCACGACATGCACCATGCTTGTAGCTCCACTGCTTTATGATTGTTGCTGGCGCCTACCACGTTTCAGTGAATTGTCATTAGCCCTTTTTGTGATCTCCCTCACCGATCCTGGTTTCGGATCTTTGTTTTGCAACATGTTGCAGGCTTTTCCTGTTCCTTTTGCATCGAGGATGAGCAAGAAGTATGGCACTTGACAAGTAGCCCTCAAAACAAAGTAGAAAACTGTATCATTCTATTCAACAAGTCATCGAAGCAGAAAAGAAAACTATGTCGATCACTAAGCAGTCACAGTTTACAACACCATTCAAGTTTCTGAAGAACATTTGAATGTTGTACAAGTAGAAACCAAGATTAGTAGTAAACCAGCGTCGCTTATCAGTTGACTATAATAAATATTTGATCAAGAGCTGCAAAATAATTCGTAAAATTTATTCCTCCAAAAAATAATTCAGCTGGTTAATTACCGCTGCTACAAGAATCATCTGCGTAAGAAAGTTTCGCGGTTTTGCATACAAGTAATACTACACACGCAAACACACAAGATCCACAAATTAAGTGATTTCCTTACTAGCTGTATATATTGTTGAACTATAAATTTGTATGTAACAATGCCCATGGTGAGAGAATACCTTAAATACTTTGAAGTTATAGATCGACAGAGATCAGACGGTGCTGAGGGCCGGGAATGTAAGAGATGATGACAGAAGAAAAGAGAGCACACTCCCAACAACGGAAAAGACTCTCTTTAGCCGATGGCGGGTTGTGCTCTCTCTCTTCTGTCAACATGGTCTCTAACCTCATCCCAATCACATCCACCCTCGATGCCACAACTCATGCATTTATCCCTGCAGTGCAAGTTAACCATCAATTAATAGGCTTTAGATGTAATGAGATAATGCATTCAGGCTCATATAAATCTCATAAAATGTGTACAAATGCATATTAGCATGTTTTCCCTGTTGAAAGATTAACGCCAGCCCAAAGTCAGAGCATGGATTCTGCCAGAAAACTCTAGCAAAGTATAGCAGCAAGCGTGATAGGCGGTAGCTTCTATAGACTGCATTTTGGCCATGGTGCAGGAACGATAGATTTTTCTAGTTCAAACATGCAGAGATTTTGCTAGAGAATTCTAGCAAGCAATGGAAGTGGCCGGTGCATGCATATATGTTAACTATGCTAGACAATTCTAGCAAGATTATGGAGGGTTCTTATGTTAGGTCGGCAGCTTCTAAAAGTGTCCGTCTCTTTTACCTTGTGTGTTGTAATATTAATACAAGTAATTTATTTATTAATTGTGTTTCTCCAACTCTTTTTGCCTTCCACGTATCTTTGATAAATTTTTATAATTTTTGTTCATTAATCTTTTGCAATAGATTGAATCTGACCGAAAATTGAGAATAAAAGTAAAAATAAATATGTGGCTAACACCCTTCTATTAGAATTGTGTACTGTAATTTTCTCTACATTCCCTTCACATATATATGCATATAATATAATATATATATATATATTCCATACTCATATATATATATATGTGTGTATATATATATTCCATACTCACCATATTATATAGATATATGCATTTACATATCCCTTAGTTCATTGTTATAAGTATATATAAGAAATTGCCTCAATAGCCAAAAGTTGACCATGATCTGGGATTATTTTAATCACCCAACTATTTTAATCACCAAACCAATAAAATTGTACAGACCATGAAAACAAACTGATGTCAATATCAAAATCCATGATCACGATGAAGGGGTAATTTGTGATGAAATAAATATAATTTACCATGACATTTTAATCAAATCACAGGCTAAAAATAGAGAGAGAGAGAGAGAGAGAGAGAGAGAGAGAGAGAGACTGAGAGAGAGTTTTACCCCACGGTTCTTCAACTTTGGCTTCCATATTAGAACTAAAAGCTTGCTGATCAAATATGAACTTTCACTGCAGTCTGCAGAAACTACTGGTTTCTCTTATCCTTCCATGAAAATTTAAGAGGAAATGAAAAATAAATAAAGAAAGAAATGGCTAGAAGCAGAGACCAAGTCTAAGAGTGAGATATACGTATAAGCTATAAATTCTACCTCAAATGCAATTATGTAACAGTTGCTGATGCGTAGCGTTCGTCTTATAGCGACCTGGCCACTGGCTATAACCGGTGACTTGTACACTATGACCGGCTAGGGAGGGTAGAATAGTAGTTTTATTTTTTCTTTTGAACAAAAAATATTTACACTAAAGAGAAGGGAGTGGGCCGATTAGCAATAATGTGGTTCAAATTCGTCTTTGGTAAAAATCGAATATAAAATCTCTCACTTATAAGTGAAATTGAATACCACTAAACCGTAATGCTAAGTGACGGGTGGAATAATAGTTTTAACACATTATTTTTACATCAGTCTGTTGTAACAATCTTGTCAAACCTGATTAAATACCCTTCATTGTCAAGGACTCATAGTCGTTGGAGCATCCCAAGTGGAAATGTCAAATACAAATTGTCAAAATTAAAAGTTCTTTCATTTTAGAGAGTGTTTTAAATTATTATTTTATTATATATTGTTCCATACTACTACAGTGTGTACGAGAAATATATATATTTTTTTTTCAAACGATAAATTTATTAGATTAAATGTTACATAAAGAGCCGATGCAGTTGACTCACGCATTGATATAAGAGCAACATTCATCTTCATCAATATAATAGATGGCCACTTGAGAAAAATACAATTTAAAATAGTTAAAAGTTATAACATATTCTTAATTATGGACTTGACACTTTAAACAATAGAATTAATTTTATTTGTTGTTGAAAAAGACAACTATAAAACTAAGAGTCAGTCATTATGACATCTCTTTAGTCGAGATTTTTTAGTTTGTACAAAACTTAGAATAGACATTTGAAATTAAAAAAAAAACTTTTATTAATTATATGATAACATATAACGTACCGTTCATTGTTCCAAACTCATTGAAATATCTTTCCTTGAGAGAAATTTTGATGTCAGTCCTAATTAACGTAATTAACAAGAGCAACCTCATAAATGGGTAACCAAAAATGGTAGGGAGGATGTTGACCGGCTATTTCAGGTCAGGTGGATCCAAGAAAGAAAGGGTCTGACTTTGATTCTCTCACCTGACATCACCCGTGATACCCAAAACCCTAAGCATTGTTTTCGTGACTGTGGAGAATATCTTGTCCGTTGAATGCTGACACGTGGAGGACATGCAGGGGAGGTAGGTTGTCTACCAGCTAGAGATTAATATACTATCTGAGGAATGTGAGCACCTCTGATTGGTCAATTCTCAATAGTTCATATTCTTGTAGATAAAACTGGAACAGGTCTTATTCAAATCAAATTTTCAGACGACAAAATCTTATCTCACTAAGTGGAGTTGTATGTATAAATTCTAGAATGCTAATGCACTCGATTTTGCACCAAGTCTTTTGTTAGCTACATTACGTTCGTAACAATATAATGTAATCTTATCCAACCAAGTACTAACAATATAATAGCTCCAAGTTCGTACTAGTCTTACATTCCTAACAACATTAAAGCCTTATTCCACTAAATAGTGTCGACTGTATGAATCTTAAGTGCAGTTCATGTGCCAATACAGAAGAAGAAAAAATGGCTTTTCTGATACAATTCCATTTTCTTCCTAATCTTGGTTCCTAACTCTGTAATAAAATCTTAGTGTAGAGAATCTACAGATTGCTTCAAGCCATTGTCTCAATAAGAAGAAGCTGTATGAATTAGCTTCAATCACTAAGTCAGCAAAACCCCAAATCCGGGCACTAATTAGTTCTCATTTGATCGCCTTCAGAAGCAATTAAGGTATCTATGATCTTGTATTGTGCGCGACTGCCCACAGAACGGATCATTTTCTGCGGTGTCTGTGGTACTTCTTCTCAATTTTTCGGTCTTTGAAGCAGGATTCACTTCACTATTTTCATCGAAGCTCTCTCGTTTTAGGGTCTCTGATGCTTCCTTGGATTCAACCAATTTAGTTTTCCATTTAATACCAACTGCCTCAGGCCTGATCCGCTAAAAAGCCTTTGCGCTGGGTGAACTGCAGATTTCCTTGTAAGTTTCATAATTAGCAGCTCGGGTGCTTCCACCCTGCAAAAGTCCCGCGAGTGGGATGCAAAACTGAGACTGGACCATCACTTCTCTCTAATGTTTCCTTCAAAGCCAGAAATTCAGAGACAAATTTTTCCTTGCTAAACTGAACGAATACCGCAGGTTTCATCCAAGTGGAAGACAGACGTAACAGAGGTTGAGCCAAAGACTTTCGAAATGCACTCCCTGATGTCTCGTGCCTTGAGTTTTGATGGGAATCCCCAGATTAAAGCAACGTTCTCAGACATAATCTGCGAGTACCTCTTTTTGTGGTTATTAGACCCCGAAGACATTGCATTCTTCTTACCAGTGGTTAAATCAATAATGTCTCCATTACTCCAACTGAGGTATAGATGGTTGATCAGCTTCTGGAGCTTCTCATTGTGGGCCAACTTTTCAGATGACGAACAGGCCTGAAAATCAATTCCGATATGACTGCATGT